AGCCCAAAGTCAAGATAAGGTATTTGGCAACCTGTGTGAAATGCATCAGAAGTAGTGTAATCGCTGGCCGTGGCACTTTAGTTCCATTCATACCTGATCCCCCAAAGGCTGCGCTGTTTGCAGTGGATTGCCTCTCATAATTGCCTCTTAACAGTGCCATAATTCCCCATGGTTACAGTGGCCAAAAAAAAAAGGTTTATAAATACCCCTTGTGCATAACTTTTAGAAAAAGTTTATTTTTTTCGATTTTGTCGCCATAAAAATAGAGCTGTTCGCAATAATGCGCCGTTATTGTGAAGTTTTTCCTCCCGCGACGCAAGTGCTGCAGTGGAGTTTTTCTGTTTTGTTGTTTTGCGCGCGTGCGTGCGTATGTCCACGGGTGGTGAGCCGATCGCGGTTACGTAAGCGCCAGAGACATTCGATTGTCCGATGTTGTTGTTGTTTTCCAAACGCCGTGCCCATGCATCAAAAGGGTAACGGTACACTTGGAAAACATCTCAAGTTCAATTTTCAGCGGGCGCGCTTGTTCGGTAGCCAGCACGCTCTGTGTAGTTTCACTAGTTCTTTTGTGGGCTATTTCAAGGGTTAGGGAAAAAAATCAAGGGCTCTAAGAACATTTTCTAAAGTGGCAATAGCACATTGGGGCTGTTCACACACTTATGACGGAATAAAAAATAATAATTTTAAAAAGTCTCGGTGGTTTCCTGCTCAATCGAGCAGAGGTCGCCGAACTCATCTCTTGTTTACAGCCCTGACCCGGTGGTGCAAATTCCACATTCCTGTGCTGCAGCTGTGAAAAGAGCTTCATAGCTCATCGGATTTCTCCAGGATAAATGCAGATTCTGATCCTGGGGGTGGGTCCTTTTATAAGCCAACCACTTGACGTTCCCCTCGAAGCGGTACTTATTTTATCCACTCTCGGCGGAGGAAGGCTTGGGTCGATACCTAACGGGGATTTTAACTTGCGCCCTTCCGATTGCGAGTCATGCACGCTGACGCCGTGGCGTCTCGGCTAGATTATTGCCACGCACTACGCAGCCGTGTGTGCGTTCCTGCATGGAAGCAGGAAGGCAGCGATATGTAAACTTTTACCCGTTCAAATGGACGTACGTGTGTGTCATCAGTTTTTCTTTCCGATTTCGTTCCGATGACGTACACATATACGTTATCTATGCGGGAGGAAGTGTGGCACAGTTTGCTGGCACAGGTTGTCGCCAGCTATTGTAGAGTGCGGTCGTGTCGCTACAGTTTTCTGCGGTGAGTACAGTGTCTTTAAAAACAGCGGCGCTATGCCTCTCTAAATAGAATTAACGCTCCGAGATTCAGCGGTGAACGGGACCGACCCTGCAAATTGCAGACGCCTCGGAACGGCAAAGGGTTAACTCACCTTTCATCATCATCAGCAGCAGCAACAACCATGATCGGTCCACTGCTGGATTAATGTCCCCAAGCTGTCTCCATCTGTCGTGGTCTCATGCAACAGTCGTTCTAGCTCTAGCGCACGAGCCAGTTTCTTCGCTCCATGTGCCTTGATCGGTGCTGTGGGTTTTGCTATATAGTACAATCGTGATAAACAAAAGCGTTCCAATTCGATACGATTTGAACTTGAATAGCATCGAAGTGCAGCTGCGTCTCACGTGCGTGCAGTTCTGAAAGCGTACGTACGTGCGCATGTTATTTAAGCAACATAATAAGAAAATAATTTGCCCGGGAATCAGATGGAAAGGAAATAATTTGCCGTTTCAGCCGACAGACCTCCTGAAAGTTATGATATATATGGTTGTAATATAAGACCTCCCCCCTAAAGCACAGAGTTCATAGTACAATTTTTTTGACAGTAAAAAATGTATTCGTGCAATAGGTTACTCTTAAAAAAGGGGGGGGGGGGGTGGGAGGAGGTCTTGATAATGATTTTATTATGTGCCTTGGAATTCTGAAGGTAGGGAGGTGTATAGGGTTGTACAGAATCACCCCCTGGGTTACAGTCGATTCGAGATCCGTTTTAGTTATATTGACACTGGCGGCGAATGACAGGGCCTCTGGTGGCTGCAGAGGTGATTTTTGAAACATTGATATGCTATTGAAGCACGAATCGACAAACGTTGATTGCACCCATGGAATTTAAGTCTGTATGATGCCTTCATAATGTCCTTTAATTGCATGATTGCAATGCTCCTCTTTCCACCTCGGTGTCTTTTTAAGCGAGCATCATCTCACCGTGCTTGATGGCACACGTTCAGCTCTTGCTCCGTTCATTTTTTGTCAGCGTCCGTGTTTCTGGTGCGTGCGTCACCGTGGGTAATATGCGGAAGATGAGAACAACATGGAGTGATTTTTTGTTCCATCATCATCACCACCACGATCCATGCGCAGATAGCCTGTAGGTGTCCACATGTCGTCATTTACACCATTGGAACCTCATTTGCCAGTAAAAAATATCATTTTTACCCTTCTATCTGACAACAAAACTGACACTTTTTTTTACAAGGAGTCATGTTTACATAGACCACAATACCTGCAGTCATAATGCAAACAAAAAACACAACTCTGATAATGTGCACTGTCCTTGAAGTTGATTGGTCCACACCCGAGACAGCTTTCCTTAGAGCCTAGTCTCACATGGGTTGGACCAGATGATGCCAAAAGGCGTCATTTGTTTCCACATTCCTCCTCTGCCTTGTGCCAATATGCCCAAGTAGTGCCCACGACTTCCTGGCACCGATCTCTTGTGACGACGTCGTCGTCGTCGTTGTCAGCACATTCTCTCTGATGTCTTCCTCTCTTTCAGTTTACTTCCATCTTTCTGAACAACAACGCACTTTTAATTTCCCTGTTGTCGTCCATCCTACACGTGTGTCCAAATAGTGCCGGTTTCCTTCTCATCACTGCTTGCATCATCATCGTCATCAGATTGTCTTCCTCAATTTTTTCGGAAAACTAAAATTCAGAATGAAACGCAACACGCCCAATGTGCCTGGAGAAGAAAGTTTACAATGAGATAATGATTATAATCTTCCGTGTTCTTTCCACAAATAACTGTCGTTCATTATTTCTGAATGCTTACCATAAACCCTTTGCAGTCATTCTGCATTGTGACTTTGTGGTTTTGCGTACATCAGTTGTGAAGCCACCCCCCTCCCCCGGTTGTGAACGTAGTTAGCGGTCGTTATATTTGACGACTGCTCAGCTATTGAATGCGCATTCGTCCTCATTACACTCGTGGCTTCGTGGTAAGACGCGTCCACAGACGTACGCTACATCTGGAAGCGTTACGAGGACGGATGCGCCGAGTGTCTTGCGCGCTTGTCTCCTCGCTTAATCACGGCTTCGTGGAGGTGAGTTTAAACACGTGCGGGGCCCACCGCTATCCATCGCTTATCGGCCGCTCAAGAGCTCGGCTTTGGGCCATCACAGATAAGTGCAAAGGGGTGGGGGGCACATTGTATTCTGCTCTGGCATTAAACCCAATTTATTAGGCATGTCACGACGCATCGGTTCGTCGATTCTTACTCTTCACAGTCCGCACAATGACGTGTGCGGTGCGAGAATTGCATTGTTTGTGGCTTGCGAAAGTTAGTCAGTCATTTGAATATTACGATATACTAATGAAACGAGCATAGCTGTACAGATGAGACGGAACAAAGAAGCCGGTTGAAATGAGACACAAATCAGACAATGTCAGTTCTTGGACAAAAAAATGTTGAACCCGAGTAACGACGGCTCATCTAATTCTTTGGCAGTGGGGGAGGTGTGTGAATTGTTACATGCTAACAAAATACTGTATTAAACAGCATATATATATGATCCAGCTCCGAGCCTTCAGCTTGTATAAACCTTGGCTTTGCCATTGGTTAGCGTACCTATCTCGTCAAGGAGCCTAAACCGATCACCCGAGCTCCGGTCATCCTCGCAACAGCGGCTTTTGGCAAACCATTCAACAAAGACGGTCAACGCATCGCGCGCTTTCAGGTGCGCTTCTGCGGCCGTCTGGAACGCTCTTCCGTCCGATGTTAGGAAGCCACTGGAGCTGTGCACTTTCAAATCTAGATTGAAAACCCATTACGTTAGAACTGCTTTTGTGCTGCGAAATAAATTCACCATAAATACACACGTACACACTATGGTGGCGATCACTTCAGGCTCAAATCAGAGTGCTTGGGCTGTTCTCGTGAAGGAGTCTCGCTTGCTTTGCTCGGTTTTGTTTCCCCCTGCTTCTCCGTTTAGCTCACGTTCTGCCGTGAGTGGCGTGCCCAACGCTGACCCACCGCAGGCTGTTTTGGAACAGTGTGGAATGCTGCAGGTTTCAAAACTTTTGGGACCACCAGGGGTCCAGGTTTTTTTTACCGTGTGCCAATAACCAGACGCATGTTAGCATGCATTACATAATGCACACGTGAGCGGATACCTAATCTACATACGGGTGGAAATTTTGTGTAAAAAGGTTAGCACCCTGATGGTCCCCGCGGGCATAAGGCTAAGAACCTCGATGTGATCTTCCGTGCTTGGAAAGATGATTAACCTTCTGAGAAGCGGCACGGCTTCTTCTTTTAAGGAGTTTCACTGCTGTGCTTTCACAGCTGGCCCAGCAAGCTCGTATACGATTGATGAAGAAAAATGTAACGTCTGGCACTGTTCATTCACGTAACGCTGCAAATAATTGTAAGAATTATGTCAAAAGTAAACTACGTCTCCCTGCTTGTGTAAGTATTTCATCTCCTTTATCTTTGATGTCAACCCATAGTTAGTAACGTATATTCTACATTCCTTTTGCCAGGGTCTGTCATTTTATGAAATAATTATTGTTGACTTCCACCACAGTGTGGTACACTCTGGGGGTAGCAGGCCGAGTCAATTTCAGCCGGGGTTTTTTGGACGTGCAGCCTTTTTACCAATTATAATTCACGTGCTCCGGATCACAATGCCACCCCTCCGGAATTCAAAGTCGGCCAATTTAACGACAATTCCTGCCGCTGTCGTTTTGCCCCCGTCCGAATCGGAAGCAGAGGAAGGTGCCAAAGATGCAGCGGCAATCCCGTTGTTCCAAGGCCCCACGGACACGCGTCGCTTGCACCGGTCGGACTGGCTGTCCGACCCGCACAGCCTGAGCTCCGCAGCGGTGCCATCGTCAGAGTTCCTGACGTTCACACTGCAGATTCCTCACCAGCTCGACAATTACTCCAACACAGGTAAGAGGCGCACGCGCCCTTTCACTGGCGGTTGCCGCTGTAGTAGCAGCTGCCGCGGTGAACCATCCTATGGCAGCCATCGCTTGTGTTTGCTACTGCTTTTGGTAGGTATATTGAAAGTGGCAATTTAAGATGCGTTAATTGGTTTTTTACCCTTCTATCTGGCAACAAAACTGACACCTTTTTACATAGACCACAATACCTGCGGTCATAATGCAAACAAAAAACGCAACTCTGATAATGTGCACTGTCCTTGACGTTGATTGGTCCACACCCGAGACAGCTTTCCTTAGAGCCTAGTCTCACATGGGTTGGACCAGATGACGCCAAAAGGCACACAACTCAAAGACAATGCACCATCAGAGTATGAGAGCTCGGGGTAAGCATTTACACCATTGGATGCGTTGTATGTATGTATGTTGAACTTCTTTCGCACCGTACCTAGCCAACTGTGCTAATTGAAGTTGCGGGGGAAGGACAACAAACTAAATAAAAAAAAACAGATATAAAGAAATTAGTTTTTTATCTAGATTTAAAGGTTCACATTTGAAAAAAAAAAGTCTTAATCACGATACGTCTTGTTTGATTTTTTTGAATACCCTTTCTCTTTTCACCACTGTTTAACCCCCCCACACCAATATTTTCTTGACAATTGTGCCAGCTATGTCAGATGAGATTGAAGAATCTATTCGGAAATCTCACAGTGCAATCCATCCAATGTGTTGGAGAATGCCTGCGGAGGAGATTTTATTTCTGCTACTGTCATCTCATGAAATAATCTTTTGATTGTGTGTGTTTTCTTTTTAAGATATATCTTTTCATATTTTTTTGAGGATTGGGTTATTGTTGAGAACATGAGTACGTGGTATGGAAAAGATTAACAACATATATAAGGTCACGTAGAAGGGAAACAGTAAAATAATAAAAATACAAAACAATAAAATTCTCACGACGTTTCGATTGCAACACAAGCAATCATCATCAGGTGTGAAAACCACCGAAAGTACCAAGAATATGAATCCCTGCAGTCACGAAATGCTTTAAATAAAAATGTAACATATATAAACGTCATATTTTAGGGGATTTTCTTTGCGTGTACATGTTCATATTTCACAATTTAAATAAAACGTGCACACATCTTCAAAGCGGGATATATATATCCACCCCGATGAACTTGGGCTGCTCTATTCGGGCACAGCAAGTTGAAGAATACGTTCAAATGCACAAAAAGTTGAGCCGGAATGGCAGTAGTAACACTGACATTATCGAAAGTGTGTAAACCCATTTGCGTGTTATAAGAGCCTAATAGCATACAAACACATCGGGGGCGCATGCGTGTGTGTTACAGCATCAAGTGTGCCCAGTGCACATTTGATCCTGATTTGTTATGACAAAATCAAACAAAAATCAAACACCAAATCTCCCACCGCACGACGCAGTGGAATGCGTCCGGACTTGTAGCGTGGGCCGTTCGTCGTTACGACTTTCAATGAAACAAATGTTTGAATTTTTTTATCGGCACAAAATATTAAAAAAAGACCAGACCACAGTGCAAAGTAAACGCGTTTGTCTCTTTTTGAAGGGCTGTGCTTTTTTTATTTTATTAAATGCAGGTGCACATGTGTGTGGTTTCTGGCTCGCAGCAACTGCTGGATGTAAGCCTTTAATTGACCTTGCCTTTCTTTTGCCTTGGTCATCTACAAAGTTCAGAGGGAGGTCACGACTCAGTCTTGCGGAATGGGGGGGGGGGGGCAAACAAGCAGTGGAGCCGTACCCGCTCGGTGAGGGGGTACGTGGAGTTGGAGCTGCAATTGTTCAATTTCACAATGTCACAAATCCCTGTAAATCGTTCGTAACAAAATGCATATCAAGTTCATAGAACTTACGAATGATTAATTTACTTATATTTACCCACGCCACTGCATGAAGATTAATGAGACTAATAATTGGCGTTTAATATGTATTTAATTAAGTGCATATGCTTAGATGGATGTATGATTAACGTTTTAATCAATCAAAATGTGCATAAAGTTAATTCAGTTGCTGCGACGCAACCGTGAACAATCATTCGTGTGTGTTCGTTAAAAATGTGCGACGCGTGTAACGAGAAGCGCTGATACCGCTTCAAACAAGCTGCCCTTTTGTATCGTGCACAGTTCCACGAATGGCTTTTGCCTCTTTGCGTAGCCGTCCGTACACAGTAGGCAACAAACGTGAACAAAACTCGCCATAGTCGAATATAATGGGCGAACGTAATGCAGGGAAAGGCCGACTCCTGGCACGCACAAAATCTCTCTGGGTCCCATTTTCTGCATTGCTGCTGCCAACTGGTCAGCCAAATAATACGAAAATGAATGGGTGTGGGTATTGAGTAACATTCCCTTGAAAAAAAAAATCAAAAGGATCATAGTGCAGATCTTGATTAAGTTAAGGGCCGATTCCTCGGGAGAGGGTTTGAGTGGAAGGTACCGATGAAGTGATGTTGCTCGCAGCCAAGCCTGTAGCATATGGTTTGGATGCTTTGCGGAACTTTCTGCGGCTTTTTTTTCCTTCTCACTGGCTTGATCAAGGAGTGCGCATTATATCAGCTGGAAAGCATTGCGAGTCGGAGAGGGGGAGAGCGAGAGAGAGAGAGAGAAAGCCAGATTAACTTTTGGAAGGGTGCCCTTTTAACGTTGCCACAAAAGATATAAACATTACAGTGTGTATTATAGTGATGTTTTATGCACTCTGTTTTGTTGAAAGCTTTGTTTTGGACACCGCGGTGTGAGAGTGCACGAGGATTTACAGATTTGTAAACGAAAATACAGTTTGCGTTGACACTATTCGACGGACTGGACTGCAACGCGGCCGGTAAATCTGTGGCCGCGTGCAAGTGACTGCAGGCGTTTAACGTTGACGGCGACGGTTTTATCGGCTTCCCATGAATGTAGCAAAAAGGCTTTTTCGGACAAAGAGAGGCTTGAAACGTGTTCTTAAACAATATATGCGTAGACCAAGAAAATGTGCGTTGATACAATATTTATTTAATACATTTTTTTTATTAACGTTTCTAATGAGACAAATGATGGAGAGCCACGAAGCCAGCCTTGCCCCAATGGCGCATATCATTTCAATAAACTGCCGACCTCAATGATAACCACACCACCGAAGCTTCCAAGAGAAGGCAGCATGGAGACATGCCTTAAGTGGCAGATCGGGCCCTCATTAAAATATCGGATGTGGTGTAAAGCAATCCTTGTAATGAAATTAGCCCCTCGTTTGATGAAGATGGGACTTGCACGTCCAGCGGACACGAAGCTCGGAGAAGAAGACATCTGAGAGCGGGGCGTTGGGGACGGCACGGCCAGTCAGGTGGTGGCACATAGTTGGCCGTGAGCCAGGCAGCCGCTGCCGTTCCGTCCATCCGGCATCAGCGGCAGCAGCAGCAGCAGAGGCACCGGCGGCGATGTTCCCCATTAGCCCTGACGGTTTGCGCGCTCGTGCGATTGCGCAATGACAAATCTCTGCCCACCCACCCCCCCTTTCCCCGAGCTCTCCCCGGCCCTGGGGTCCCTCAGCAGTAAAAGCAGAAGCAGCAGCAGCAGCAGCAGCAGCTGGGGGCGATTGCGCACTCCCTTGTCAGCCGCCCCGCCACGGTCCTTTCGGCGGGTGCGTGTGCAGGCAGCGGTAAACAAGTAGCCGCCCATCACGCGCGCGCATCTTCCGAAGCGGTCGCCCTTTGTGTCCCCTCGGGTCGGGAGGGACTGTCGCCGCGTCAAATTCACACGGCCAAGGCGGCGAGCGACGCGCGACGTGCCAGCGTAACGAGCGGCCGAGCAGCTCCCGCGCGTATCAGGGCATTGCTCTGGACGTGTGATCGGCACCCTGGTGGCAATGGTAGTGCCCATCAAGTGCAGTCGTGCGTAGCCCAGCGGCATAGCGCCGCTTGCCAGCAGGTGTGGTGTTAAGAGACGTACTCCCAAGTGTTGAGAGATGAACTCCCAAGTGCAGGTCACTCACACACACGTGCTCTTGCCAAATTTTAATGTCTACAAGCAGAAAAACAATAGTCATCAGACAGCTTCACACTGCCAGGAGCTGATATATTTGAGCGTTATCTTGTTTTATAGCTCTGCATGGTAAACACGGGTACCTGCTTTCAGTAAGACTCTCTTACACCTGCCTCTGGTTTGGAAGTGAATCCACTAATTTCATTCATGCTTATATAGTACATTACGACGAGTATCGGGCCCTGTTCACATTAAAAGAGGCAGGAAACAAACCAAAAAAAAACCCTTTCCCAATTCGTTTTCAATGGGCCACTACATTCACTGCATGGTCAATATTACAGTAAGTGCATTTTAAACTGCAACTCATTTTACTTGTCATCCATTTATATTTTTGACGTATCGCATTTCCAGCAGTGTATTTTCATATATATATATTTTTTTCATTATGAATAAGTATTTTCTGTCTCCTTGTATCCGAGGCCTCGCTTGAAAACGGAACTTAAATTTGTAATCTCGGTCAGCTCTCACCTGGTTTTAAACGGAACAACTGACCGATTGTGCAAAACACGCGCGCGCACGCTAGGCATGTTCAGCTGCTGGGTTTCATTGTTAATCCACGTGACCAGGAGCAGTCAAGAGAAACATCCCCGCAGGAGAAGCATGAAAAAAAAGTTCAGGTCTGTGGATTGGGGCAGAGATCTATGAGAGGTGGGAGTCGGCAAAGATGGAGGGACATCATCATCAGTAGGTTCGGGGAAGAGAAGAGTCATGTCCGCGTGTTGTCTTTATGAATGTTGAACTTACTAATAGGGTTTTTCCCCTTTTTTCTGGCAACAAAACTGACACCTTTTGCAAGGAATCATGCTTACATTAACCACAATACTTGCAGTCAAATGCAAACAAAAAACAATACTCTGATAATTTATACATTGTCCTTGAAACTGATTGGTCCACACCAGAGACAGCTTTCTTTAGAGCCTAGTCTCATGGTGTTCGACCAGATGACGC